AGAGATAAGTTTATTTATTGTTTTAGTTTGTATGAGTTTGATTTTATATATGATCCAAGTTTTGTTGTGTTTTCCTCATGAGATCTGAGTAGTTTTCTCTGTTTTTCTCCTTGTCTTGAGATTTATGAAATGGTGATTTGAATTACTTGAGCCATGAAAATGTTAAAAAAATTGTGATGATCTTTCACTTCGATCTTAATTTACTTTCAATCTAGCCAATTGATTTGTTAAAATCTGTTGAGTTTTATAATTAAAGTGAAGATTACATCCAAGATTCAAGGAGGTCAAAGCCCTTGGAAGTTGGGTGCAAATAAATAGGAAAATAAAATTATCGGGCGTAGAATTGGAGATTTTAGAGTGACAGACTAAAATCTCCAATTCGGTCCTATCGTTTGGGTGTTGAAGTGTAGATGTTAGCCCTCAGACGAGGGGAACATAGGAGCTCCGAAGTGATAGCTGGTATCCTCCCAGCATAACCGCAAATTCAGTAAACAAGCGTAGGATTAGTCAATGTTCTTTATGCCTGGACCAAAGGGTAAAGAATATGTATGCTTCTATTTGGCACAATATAATTTGAACTAATTCATTTTATCCATTCACTATAGTTTCTTGAAAATGAGAATGATGTTTTCTTATATATTTAATATCACAATCGAACCTTCGTTAATATATTTAGTTATTTACAAGTCATTAAAATTACATATTTATTTCAATTTCCTATTAGTGACAGATAAGCAAATTGAATTTAATTATTGTGATTAAAGTATTGCTTTTCTAAAGACTTAGTTCGTAGTTCTAATATTACTCCCTGTGGGATCGATATTTAGGACTCCATTAGAGCCCTATATTACATGAGCGATACGTATACTTGCGTTGATAAGTGTACAATTATTGAATATTTTATACATACATCTTTATCGAATCTATAACTGTTATTATGTTTTGGTACAGTTGTTGAGGAATTAAATCTTTTAGCAACCGTATTAATTACTTATATTTTTAAGCATATATAAAGTCGCGGTCAGAGAGCTGACATAATATAATAAAAAGGTTCAGGGAAAACACAAGAAGAGAATACGATAGAATGCCACTGAAAAATAAGTGAGATCAACTAAAAATGGCTGTAAAAGGCATTTTGAGAATTTTTTGGATTTTAGGGTATTTTGGTCATTTTGAGAAATTTTGGGTGATTTGAGTAATTTTTGTATTTTGGTGGAACATGGGCTTGAATTTATGATTTGGTGGCTTGATATGGATTTGGTGAAAATTGGAGGCAATTTGAGAATTTTGGGCAATTTTGGATAATTTTGGTAATCTTGGTCCTTTTTGATGAAGTTAGGGCATTTGGGTAATTTAGAGGGGTTTAAAGATGATTTTGGTAAAAAATATTTTGAGAATTTTGAAAAACTTGGGGGTTGATAGGCATTTTGGTAATTTTTGGGGAAATTTTGGGTTTAAGGGTAAAAGTTGGAAATTTTGTAAGTTTAGAGTTGATTGGGTAGGGTGAACATGCAAGCCATGAATAGCCTCCTTAAAGCCATATGACAACTATAATAACTCATTTTGAAGCTTCGACATGTTGGTCATAGCCATCTTAACCAAAGGCTAAGGGCTTGGGACCTCCCACATGAGTTTTCAAGAGAGTTAAAGAGTATCTCAAGTGTGTGTGATTTTAGGGTTTGGGGTGCGTGTGAGAATTTGGTAGGTTTGAGTGTCCGTGTGCAAGGCCAAACCACCTAGGGTTGCCTTAAGGCTTAATAGTCCTATGGGGACTATCTTTGAGCTTCCTCATGTTGGTTTCAACATTCTAAGTGCTAGAGGTCAAAACCACACATATAAAACTCCAGAAAGAGTAAAGAAGTGGTTTGAGCTTCTAAGTGAGGCGGGCTCCATCACTAGTCTTCTAGCATAGCCAACAAGCAAGCCATATGACTAGATCCTAGGTATCTAAGAGAAGGATTAGACCTTATCCAAAATTGAGGTCAACAATAACCTAAGTAGAGCTTGTAGCAAAAGATAGAGAGTGGTGAATATGACTTTGAAATATGGAGATGAAATAGGTAAACTCTACTTTTTCTGTCCTCCTACTTTTTATCCTCCTCCTTTATATATCCTCCCCCTTGTGGAGAGTCTTTCTATTTACAGGTTTAGATTGACTACACCTAAGAAGGGTTACATAAGCGACAACACAAAAAAAAATACACAAATTTTGAAAAATGCAATATTGTAAATATCAGAATAATTAGTGAAGCATGAGATTGTAGAACAACTTAATAGAGACATTTGTCTTGTACGATTGACTTATCAAGAGGATTTACTAAATTAGTCTATGTTCATTACTTGATGAATTCACCAAATTAATTCGTATTCATTCTACTTAGATTGGATTAGTTGAACTCCACTACATGCCTTTGATAAGCATTTCATGTAGAGTTGTCTTGGCGAATGAATCAGACAATGTTGTCGAATTGTGCTATTTTAGAATATAATTGCAATATTCTTGCTTGGGTCACACGCTTGAGATGATCCCATATTCTTGGGCAAAACGTTAGGCTTTTGTAGTTATACAAATCTAATTATTTCAAATCAATCTACACTTATTTTACAATATGTAATATAAATAAAAGGTAGTGTGTGTAATTAAAATAAATTACATACATAAACTTAAGCAACATACCAAAATTTAAAATAAATAATTCACTTGGAATTATACCTGGCTAATAATGATCTCTTAAGTGGTCTCGATGATAAATAAATTATGACCAAAATGCAAAAATTAGGATTTGAGGAAGGATTTGAAAGCAAAATAGTAGAAATTTGAGAGGTAAGAAAAGGGGTAAGGAATTTTCATGATCCTTTGTGGTTATTTTTTAACCCCCCCCTCACTAGCCAACTATATATATATATATATATATATATATGCATATTGTGCCCGATGGAGCTTTTCAATGGCTCGGAAAATGTCACTCAATCAAAAAAACATAAAATTCTATAAGATAATTTGTGGTTCTTTAATTTAAAGATTATGATGATTTTTATTAAAATATATTTTAATAAAAGTTATTTTATCGAATAGGATGTTTAGCTGCAACATATATTTACGTTAAATATGATTTAATAATTCCAATAAATTCAATTATTTTTATCGTCGAAGACGATGATATAGAGGACAATCAAAATGAAAAAAAAAAGTTTAAATTCGCATTACAATCAGATTTTATAGATCTGAAACATGATCGCAGAAAAAAATCAGAATTTTAAAAAATTCAATTTAAAGAAGCATTAAATATATTGAATTTACGGTAACCTATTAAAATTAATACCAAATTAGTCCGAGTGAGAGAGGCGCGTGGTGGCATGGATTCCTTTGGGGCAGCGGCGAATTCGAACGTCCCGACGACTGCAGAGAAGGGTCGGCGGCTTGGCGAGCACCCGGCCCCGACGAATCCGATGGTTTCGCCACTGCTTACAGACCTTTACCAGTTCACCATGGCTTATGCTTACTGGAAGGCGGGGAAGCATCAAGATAGAGCAGTGTGAGTTAAGTTCTTATTTTTCTTCTGATTCTTATTTTCATATATTAATTGAGCGATTAATACAATACTGTTCTTAGTATTTTGGCCATGCCATCCAGTTTGATTTGGTTTGAATCATGGCCTTTAGGAGCACTGGCTGTCTCGAGCAAATTATTTTCCTTACATTTTTGTTTGTAACTTTAAAATAGCTGGTTTCATATTCAGTTTTATCCATTGACTGCTTACTATATAAATATTTGCTACTGTTAAATTGACATAAATGGTTTCTTATTGTACTTTCCTTGATGGTTAGCCTATAGTTGTGGCTGTTGGTGAATAAGGATGCTGATGAAGATTTTTTAATGTTTTTTTTATTAATTGCAGGAAATTTGTATGTTTTAAATATAATATAAGGAAAATATAATGAATCTTACAAAATTTGACCTATTATGGCCATGATAAAGTTGTCTCGGAAGGCTTTGAAATGGTTTACATGGTTTGGTAGGGTTTATGGCTGTTTTATTGTTCGTGTTCAATAATTTTTGTCTTGGTAACTAGCCGGTGCTTACTAGTTTTAATTAGTTAATTTATTTAATGAGTAAAAAATGAACATAACATTGTTCAATCATGTTTTGTTCAAGATTAGCTTTACATATGCATTAAAATATGCATACATAGGCTTGCGTACATGTATGCTTACATGTGTTTAGGTATATATTTGTGCATAAATTTGTATAGGTTGTTTATAGTCATATTTATACACTTAAATTTGTACAAACATATGCATATGTACACACGTTATATGCATCCTAATTTCAGAATAAGGGGTAGCCCCTATTGAGGGAGTTGTCAGATGTTCTGATTTACAATTTAACTCCCGAGAGATTATTATTGAGAGTGGTCTAGCCTGCCATAGACTTCATTTTAGAATCTGTTTTTTTAGATGAATTTGTTTATCAGATGCGTCCAACTGAGTACGAGGAGTGGGAAAGTTGCATGTTTAATTACTCGAGCCTTGGTTCATGAGAATACTCATCCATATATTGTTTTATCTCTGGTTGTGCAAAAAAAAAGACTGGAATTTATTATGTTATGGAATGATGTATATGTTTTAGAGTTGCATGAAATAGGCATAAGCATTTGTTTAGCACGACGATGATTTTGTTATGACTGTGATAGATTGACTCTAAAAGCTTTCAGTAAAGAAGGCAAAGCCTCTCCCACCTGAGGAAAATAACATAGGAGCTCTCCATCACATGTGCCGCAGTACCCCAAACCACAGAATCCTGCAATTGTAAGACGTTCCCGTCCAACTATAGTTCCGAGTGGAGCTTTTATGCTTCTTGGCTATTTTAGCAATATGGGTCTTTTTTATTAGTATTTTAAAATTATTTTAATCACAGTTCGGCTTATTTCTACAGGAGAGCTATATATGTGTTTTTCTTTTCTGTTTTGAGGATTTTTTTATTATTATTTTGTTATTTGGAGATGTTTTCTCCAGTTTTTTTTTCTTAGAGTATCGTATTCTTAGATTTCCTTTAAATAATGTGTCTGTAACCTAACAAGATCGAGGTGGTGATCACTCCCGGACATTCAGAGGTGTCCTTTGTCGTCCAACTCACAGTAAATTGCCATTCGTTACAGGAAAACTGTTGTTTTCAATTTTGATTTTCTGTTCTGCAGTTATGCATGCCGTAGTTTTATTTGACACCCCTCCTCAACATCCATTCCACCCCATTTCGTGTTTCTCCTTACTTTTTTCAGTCGTGACAACCGTCAAATATCAGTTATCCCCCTCTAAATTTGATGATCGCCCATAATTTCATTCCCTTACTATTTCCTACATTCTTCTAGTCAAACTCGCTTCCCGAACACCTTTTAGGAGCTCTAGAATAGTTTCAATTGAGTCCATCATTTTATAAGATTGAGAGCTTGAACAAGGACGCCACTCATGTATGTGCCATATTATTTGATAACCTTGATAATGACCTATGTTTCAATAATATTAGAAAAATTCAAGAACGAGCACATATTCAAGAATGTCACAAGAGCTATGTGTTGTGGGACACTGGTATTCTCCGCGATGCCGATACATGACATTTGGTTCTTGCGACCATGGGAATTTGGACCGAACTAAGGACTGAATTTTTCCGCAGTTTTATTTTCTTTCTTTATTTTCTTCAAGTTTGCTTCCTTTTTGGTTTTATCGATTTTCTTAGTTTTTAATTATGTATTTGCTTTTAGGGGACTCCTATATATAATTTTTAGGGTTTTAGTTTAGTTTTTGTTAATTTGTTTTGGGACAGCCGTCGATATCTCTTTTCCCTTTACAGGTTGTATCCTAGGGTCCCATTTGGTGCTCTGACTGTATTTGATCTCTAGGTAGTTTTTATCCTTCCTACACGTTCCCCCAACCTTTCCCGCTACAACTCCCTTCTTTTTCTTCCTTTTTTATTCTTACCTATTTTCTTAGTTTCTAATTAGGTATTTTCTTTGTCAGGACTCCTATATATATGATTTATTTTTGTTTTGACTTTAGTTTTTATTGTGATTTGTTTCGAGATAGCTTTCAGTGTCTTTTTTTTTATAGGAGCGGTGTTTATTCTTCTTACACCTTTCTTTCAACCTTTCCTGAAGCAATTCTGATACTTGAGTTAATCCAAACCACAACAAGAAAACACATATTATTATAAAAAAGCTAATAGGTGGTTACAATCATATGGAAATGAGAAATAATAACAACACGACACACACACCACTAGGAATATATCCAAAGGGGTGGTTGGCAGTTATGTAGAATGGATGAGTGCTGGGTGGCTGACACGCCATTAAATGTGTTATTTTTACATATTTTATGCACATTTTGAGGATAGTGCGCTTTAATAGAAGATATTTTATGTGTTTTTGATTTCAGGTACAAGAGATGTAGTTTAAGAGCAAAATGAGCAAAAATGAAGCAATTTATGGTCAAATGGAGCAAATGACCAAAAAAGTGACCTGGCGCCTTGGAGTCAGGTAGTTAAAATAGGCTTCTAGAAGGTTGGCGCCCAGATGCCAGAAACGGTTTGGACTTTTTGTGCAATGAATTTTGATGAATTTTGAAGGGGTGTTTGAAATTACTCTTGGTGATTTAAGAGCTTTATTTAAAGAAAAGATTAGATGGTTGAAAGGGGGGCTTTGAAGGGTTTGGTTGGTGGTGAAGAGTTTTAGGAGAAGGCGTGAGACTCCCTTGTGTGTGTTTGTTGTGTGAGTTGTGAGTGAAAGTCTTTTTGTGTGTGTTTTTGCATCTAAGGAGAGTAAGACGTCATCAAAGGAACTTCAAAGGAGTTGCGTGGGGATAAGTCTCAGATAAGTACTTTGTATTTTTGTTTGAGTTTGTTTTACTGTGTAAACTTGGATTTTAATATAAATCATGTTTTGTTGTGTTATTCCCATGAAGTCTCAGTAGCTTGCTTTATCTTTCTCCCTGCAGTAAGAAGTAACCATGTGTAGGATTAGAAATGTTTAAGATTTCTCTTATTTCATGCTTGTGATGATTCATTTCTTTGTACTTTATTTATATCATCATTAATACCAACCAAATCATTCATATAACATAAAAATTATCACTTCATAATTTTTTAAAAGATTAAATACAACTTTCATGCATATATAAGATGACAAATATATAAAAATTGAAGACCAGGTGAAGATATGCAATCAAATAGAAATTGATGAGTGGTATGTATGCAATTCTTTTTTTTGCGGTATTTTACTTAACTCCTTTGTATTTACATATTAAGATGTTCTTAGTTTAAAATCTTACATATTCGATGTGTTTACATGAACAATTAATTAAAATTTTAAACTTATATTCATTTCTTTAAAAAATAATATTTTAAAGACTCATTCAAGTTAAATTTAAGAAAAATTATTCTGATTTAATTTATTTTCCCTAATCATGGAAAATGAGAGTGTTTTGGTATGAAAATTTATTTCTTGCATGGCTCGCAGGTATGGCCGACTTATTTAGTTGGTGGGCCTGGCTATGAAATTATAAATAGAAACATGGTTGAAGCCCGACCCTAGTCCGCTTTAACTGGTCTAAGCCCGAATAAGGCTGACCCACGTTAAGCTTAGCCAACCCAGCGTCCAAGTCTAGTAAGGAGTGACCCCCACCCAATGGGCGACAACCCCAAGCACTAGTTCGATCACTCGACCCGTGTTTTGCTTGGACTAGAAGATCCCGGACAGCACATGCGATCCCGCGGGAGTTCTATCCTTTATTGAGAGCATCATGCTCTTGCGTCAAACAGCCTTCATTCTCGCCGCATTCCCCTTGCTGCAACGACCCAAAAAACAACGAGAAACAAGGAGCAAGTTGATTATCATAAATGGATTAATAACGTTGCAAGAAAGGTGTCCACTTAATATTAAGATGCCAAAGAGTAGAAAAAGATGAAAACCAGATGCGGGACAAAATGCTTCACATTAAAGAAAAGTACAAACCAAATTATATTTTCTTCCATCCAAAGACAAAATTTCTCTAAGATATGTTTCAATTTGCGCTAACACGTTAGTTTGAGATTTTTAGACATTTTATTGCTTTTCAATTATTCTAAAATTACTTTAATTAGAAAATTAAGCAAAAAATATATGATCAAAATATCAAAGCTTCACAAATGAATTTAATTGGAGGACTAGGTATGTTGAATTAAGGCAATAAATTTGAAGATTGGTTGACAGAAAAGTGCAAATAAAATATGAATAATCGGACATCATCTAGTATTGGAGTAACATAAAAGTAGATTAGATTTCGTTCATGCCAAACTTATCGTGAGCAGGCATGGGTGCAAGTATGAACCAGTTTGATCTAGCAAAAATCTCTAAATATGGCACTATCATGCCAACTCACACAATTCACGGAGAACTCGACTTTGATAATTATGGGTTGGCATCACCATATGATTTCCTGAGCAATTTATGATTAATTCTCTTAAGCTCTTATTTAATGATTCGCATACTCTCTATGTTTGATCGAT